TCCATACAACCCAGGCTTTCATCAGACCCTCGCCTCACCCGGTCATCTTCCATGACCTCTGAGACAAGCACACTCACTTACAATAAACTCATCTCTTAAAAATAACAAGATGCTCCACATGGCATAGTATATAGTTGTAAATGTTCAAATGATCAAATATGGCTGACCACCTTCTATACATAAGGCAGTGTGAGAAACAAGACAGTTCCGTCCCAATATTCTTAAATAAGGCTTCTCTGCCTGTTGGCCTGGTCATAATGACCCTAATCCTCAAAAGGCACTGACAGGCATTTGGCGAGGGACTCTGAGATGTTCTTTCTTGGTGCATCATGACCTTCATTACACTCTACCCAGAGTCTATATGACGTGAAGTCTCATAAAAGAACCCACAAGGGCTCACACCTGCAGGGTGTTTAACTGGCGTGTCCTCCCTCCCGGGCTCTGTGGGCTATCCTTCTCTGCATCCTCAGTAAAATATAAGCCTTCAACCATTTTTCTTGTACAAGCTGTTCTGAATGTTCACTGCCTGAAAGTCTCACGGCTCCATTTGTTCCATGTGGCCTGATAATGACCCTACTTTTTCTTTCTTCTTGCTCTCTACCTTCAAGGGGAACAGAATGTACCCAACCACAATTATCCTGAAAGAGACACAATTTGAGACCAGCCTTGAAAAACCAGAGATCACTTAGTCTTTCCCCTGGAGAGTAGTAAACACATAGCTACTGGGTGACAAGTCTACCTACAGAGCTCTGTTTCTTCATCTATCACATGAACAAATCAGACAAAATGATCCCCAAGGTCCTTTCAAACTCAGAGGAACCCAACAGTCCAGTTAGCAAAGGGCTACAAGAAGCTCCAACACTATCCCCACCCAGGGATGGACCAATCCTCAACTAGGGAAATTACCAAGGCAGAGCCACTGCCTCCAGAGGAGAAGGATAAATTCTAACTTTGCTTCACCTAGTGCCAAGATAAAGGTGTGAACTGACAAAACGTCCCCACCATAACTCCCCTCTCCAAAACACTACCAGGATTCTCTCAGCTGTAAAGGCCATCTGGCCACTGATGAGGACAAACACGCCACAGCCAGGCCATTAGCAAGCCACCTCTTCTAATGTCAGTTTTCATAATGAATAACAAAGTCATATCTGAGTTACTTTGAAAATGGATTCATATGATTCTTTTAGAGGAATGAAATACAGTTAAGAATTTTTAAACAGCAGCAGCAATGTTCAAAGGTAGGAGAACCACGCAGACACCGCAACTGTCCTCATGTCTTTGGCCTGGGCCATACAAACTCTGGGGATCCTCCATTTGGTCTGGCTTTGCCACGCAGTCACTCTGTACTGGCCCACAGCACTCTGCAGAACTGTTTTCTGATTGTAAAGAGGGACAGTAAGCGGCCTCTCTTCTTACTACCTGCACCTAGCTCAGCTCACTGTGGGGAACAGCCTGGGTCTTGGAGACCACTAGTCAACAGTTCCTCTTTACCAGGTCCTGTCCTGGGCAGCACTGACTGTGATCTGCTTCTCCCAGCCTCATGACCTGACTGCATTTTTTTTCAGGCTCAGTAAACAAAGTAATCCGTACACACACCTCATACATGAGGTAAAGAAAGACCAAACAAATGTTTCTTGGATGCCTAACTTTAATTACACAATACTTTAATGACCAAGAACACCTGAGGAACTTCATGAATAACTTTAATTATACAATAAGCTTGGCTCACAATTTAATGATGTTTTCATAAAGATGCCAGGTAAGTCCTTCCGAAACAACAATTTAAAATTTTGGGGGGTGAAGGGAGGGCAGGGACAAGGGGAAAAAATGAGAATCAAAACCTATCATGTAAAGGTACAGGATCCCAATAATGAATGTTATTGTATTGTATACCTAGATTGTACCAATAAACTCAATAAAAATTTTAAAAAATAAAAATAAAAAAATAAAATTTTGGTTTACAAATACATATTAAATACTAATACCCCTTGCCAGGCACGGTGGCGCACGCCTGTAATCCCAGTACTCGGGAGGCTGAGGCAGGAGGATTGCTGTGAGTTTGAGACCAGCCTGGGCTATATAGTGAGTTCCAGGTTAGTCTCAACTACATTGTGAGACTCTGCCTCAAAAATAAATAATTAAATAAAATAACACCCTTGCCACATGCTAGAACAAATTAATTCATACTATAGTATCCTAACACTGTGTATGCATTTTGATGAAAATTGTGTACATGTAAGAGACAAATCCAGGGATACCCCCAGGGATTGTAATATTTTATTTTTGTTCACAAAAACAGACACTATTAATTCCATAAGTGAAGCAAAATATTTCAGTTGATTTTAAGCAAATCAAGACGTCTTTCGATTCTTTAGCCACAGGCTTTAAAATGCAATGTGCATCTCAGTGGTTTTTAAAGACAATATGACAGAGGAAAGTGAGCTGCAAATTCGGAGCCAGAAGTTTTGGTTTTCAGCCTCAGCTCCAATAATTCCTAACAAAGCCACCTCAGTCTTACAATCCCACATCTGAGCTTTACCAGTACCATTCTGCCCACAGATAAGGAAACTCACATTGTGAGATCCAGACACAAACTTGTCTTTGTAAGTATTTTATTGGCGGCTTGATAAGGCATATGTGACACAGTGATTACAGCTGGAGTAGGTGCCACTGTCCTCTGTCACCACGTTGTACGGATCTGGAGCTGTAACACCCAAAGCTGCTGGAAGGAGGAAGAATGAGGGCGGTGGGAACAGGCATTTGTCATACGAATCCCCTCTGCTTTTGTGTATGCTTGAAAATTTCCATAATCATTTTTGTAGAAGTTTTCCTTACTACTCGATTCACTTGTTCTTTTTTTTTTTTTTCATTGAGTTTATTGGTGCTTTTAAAGTATACACTACAGTTACATTCATCATTGGGCTCTTGTACCTTTACATGACAGGTCTCGGTTCTCATTTTTCCCCTTACCCCTGGACCTCCTCCCTTTCCTATTTACAAAGACTCTGTTTCCGTGTTTTCCTTGTCTCATATTTTTTCTTGTTCCTTATTTCTTTTCCCCTACCCTTCCCACATCCCCTACACCTTTAGCCCTTTTCTTCCTATTTTACATTGTCAGTTATACAATTTGAATCTTATTTACACTTTTAGTTTTTCACACCAGAGAAAATATTCAGTATGTACACGTGTCTTACTTACGTCACTTACAAATGTGGCCTCCATATAAAACATACAGAATGCTTCACAAATTTGCGTGTCATCCTTGTACAGGGCCATGCTAATCTTCTCTGTACTGTCCATTCCAATCTTAGTATATGTGCTGCTGAAGCGAGCACAATTCACTTCTTTTTCACCTTTTTCCCTTATCAAGCTGTAGAATTTTCCACAATTCTATGATTTTTCTGGATTTCCATTTTTTACAATGCAATGTGATTGACAGGTTTCTCACTAGATTTGGGTCAGTTTTTTGTTTTGTTCTGTTTTTGAGACAGGGTCTCTCTGTGTAGTCCAAACTGGCCTTGTCCTTACTTACTACACTTGATCTTAGCCAAAAGGTTGAGAAGCAATTGGTCTCGAATTTACTATGTAGCCCAGGCTGGCCCCACATTTGTGGTGATCCTCCTGCTTCAGCCTCCCAAGTGCTGAGATGACAGGTGCGCACCAACACCCCTGGCTCCTAACCAAGTCTTTCTTAATGGGTTGTCCCAGATCTTCCCCCAAAGACAGACAAATAATTCAGAGATCTCAAGAAGTAGGAAAGGGGTAATTGCAGGTGGGGATATTCAATACTGAGCCACATATCTTTTTCTGTTGTCGGGAAGATGAGTCCTTTTCTCTAACAACATCATGAGTCCCCTGGAACTGTTCTTAATCAGCCTTGGAGGTCGCAGCAAGTTTCCGGTGTGCATGTGAAAGCTTTACATCCTGTTTTCCACCCTTACTCTGCATAGAAAGTCTGAGGTAGAAATAATTTGTCTTCATAGTTCCTGTTTCTTCTCATCCACCATTGTGATTCTGATTTTTATTGCTTTTATACAACACCTCCCTCTTCTTCTTTAAAAGCTTTCAAAATTTTATCATTTTTGCTTTTAAATTTCACAGTGATATGCTTTGGGTTGGCTGTTTTTTCATTCTCTTTGCTGGAAAACAGCATGTCCTTTTAATCTGAAGTCCTATGCCTTCAACTTTGGGAGATTTTCTTGTATTATTTCTTTCATAATTTGCTTCTCTCGATTATTCCTGCTCTCTCAGTGAGGAACTCTTCTCAGTCAGATGCTGAACTTTTGGGAGTAATCCTGTATATCTCTTCTCTTCCTTTCATGCTTTTGGTATTTCTGCACTTTTGTTTTACTTTCCAACTATTTTTGTTTGTACATCTAAGATTTCTTCATCTTCAAATTCCAACTTTACCATTCAATTTTATTTCTGCAATCGTATTTTAACTTCCAATAGCTCTAATTATCTTAACTATGCTCTTTCCAGAACATCCTGTTCTTGTTTAGTACACATCATATCTTCTTGAACTCTCAGAATAGAGTAATAAGAATTTCTCCCAAACTATTTTTCACTTAATTCACATACTTGGTTTGCCATACGCTCTATTCATATGTCAATGATGTCTGTCTGATTTTGCGCACTTAGGAAAAAGGAAACTTTTGCCACATGCAGAGGGAGGTAATAATCCATTACTTTTTTGATTTTTTTTTTTTTTTTTTTTTTCTTGGGT